TAATAATTATTTGTAATAATTATATATAAAAATTTTTTTAATAGTATAGAATTTTTGATACCACATTGACGAAAAAAAAACCAAAAGCGGGTTACTTTTAAATCTTCTAATTATTAAAACTTTGAAGCGAACAATACTGTTAATTTCCGAATATTTTTTAAATTCTTTCACATTAAAAAAAATTAGTCTTCCATTTTGAATAATCTGATGCAAATTTCTTTTATGTATGTACTTTCTACTGATTACTTGTATTTTTCTGGAAAGAATTATTTTTTCGAAACAACAGAAAAATATTTTTTTTTAAATATGAGAAATTAAGAAAAATATTTAAAAAATTAAAAAACTTTTCCATTTTTTTTTTTTAATAATTTTGGTGCTTAGTAGAATTGTGGTCTGCCTCTAATTCTCCGATGTGATATCAAAAAATCTCTATCGCATTATTTTAAAGATTTTTATTCAGTATAAAGATAATAATTAAAAGTTATCAACTTTTAGAGATTAATGTGAAAGTTATTTAACAAATACTTTTTAAATTTTAACTTTAAAGAATATATAATAATGAACCGTAGAAAAAAGATTTATAGAAACTTACGAAATTATTTTCATCTCTATGAGGGATTGCCCATTTTCAGAAATATCCTGTATATGCAATTTATAAATAACTGTCAGACTAATGTTCATCTATTATTATACATACCGATTTCTTCGTTGAATCATTGGTGTTTTTAATGTGCCGTCATGAATAATCACCTGGTTTGCATCTATTTCTTCACATTCCGAACTGTCTTCAGAAATGTCTGTAATAACATATACATAATATTAAAATATTTTAACATACATCTTTGTACATCTAAAATGTTATATTAACTTATTACATAACACTTAGAAGTATTAAAAAATTAAAAATTTTATTGATATAACTTTAACTCTTTTTATGCATATAAAAATGCATATAAATTTAATTAAAGTATCAAACGTATTTTTTCTAAAAGCTTTTCAAATTGCTTTGCCCATATTTTTCAAAAATTATTTTCCGGAAATATCCTAATTTTCAAACAATGTATTGATTTTATTTTTTATCCACTAATTTTAAAAGAGAAAATATTATACAACACATTTAACTCCATTTTGTCGAGCTCTATTCGATACATCGGATAATCCGACTGATACTGTGTAAACTGAATGCGATAGCATCGATCGCTAAGTGACGCTAAATTCATTCCTGCCTCACCCTCTTCAACACGTTCTTGTTTACGAACACGAGAGAGAACTGGACTGTGGCACAGCATAGCAGTATTACCAAGCACATCATCGATATCAGTATGCTCGCCAATAAATAAGGGCAATGTAGAGGGTCGTTTCCGTGGTGGCAATCTTCGAGGTGTCGATTGTACATTATCATAAGGAGATTTTCGTCCCCCATAATTATCTGGCGGATCAGGTGGATTTTCGACCTGCAATAAAAACAACAAACTGGAGAATTTCCTATTTCTTAATAATAATATTTCTTTTTTTTTATCAAAAATATTAATATCTTAAAAGAAATATTAATTAAAAGAAATTTTAATAATATTTCTTTTATTTTCATTATTTAATTATTTCATTTTTTTTAAAATGTAATAAATAAAATAGCGCTATAATGTTAGTACGATAACATTTGTTAATTACTTTTAATGAGCTTTTAATAATGAATAGAAAAACAAGAAAATAAAAGAATAAATAATATTATTGATTGACATGCAAGATTCAATAATTAATGCTATTTTCTTTATGTGATTAATATCTATATGATATATTCGTTAGCTAAATTATTTTCAGATATTAATAACTTTATTATTAAATTGTTCAAGATATTTTGAAAAATTCAATACTTTCAATAATTGATTATAAGTAAATATAAACCTAAAGAATATTTATATTTTCTTATCTAGTGCACAAATTATACGTAATACACTTTATTAATAGCTTAAATAAGCTTCATAAACTTATCTCTCTTTTTTTTGGATTATTATAATCTTTTATAATTAGAGATTTATTAGATCGTACAAAATTATTATCAGAATAACGTATAAAGTAAGGAAATAATAAATGTTATGTATTATGATCAATTTTACCCCTTCTGGACTAGCACGATCTCCTAACGGCTCGGATGGTGGTGGTGGAAATTCGATAGGAAATCTAGAGAGACTTCTTTTAATACATGTCTCAGATTCGGGGTTAATACCGATATCGATCTTCTCATATGACTCGGAAGAGTCGGAAGTGCTGTTAGGAATTTCCACGGGAATCCTGACGACTCCGTCAGGAACATTGGAGGAGCTATCCATCCACCATGCCTTCTCCCCAGATTCAATATGTCGGATTTTCTTAAGCGGTTTTGAAGAATAAATACTCTCGTTAACGACAGGGTTGTTAGTACTTTGATTATCAGCAGGCACCACTGGAATAACCTCGATGCCTTCCGGAACGTTTTCAGGATCGTCGCTCATCCACCACGCTCGTTCACCGGACTGCTGATGCCTGATACGATTTCGTCGATCAGCTGACCGAAAACTACCTCGACTAGATCCCCGTCTCGAAATAGAAGACACCGGTGATTTTTTTGTTTCTTCCGTTGCAACATCATCTAACCACCATGCGTATTCTTCTGATCCTTGTCGCCAAATTTTAAGTTTATATTTTCCTGGCAATACGTACAAAAAATAATATATGTATAAATGCAAGGATTTAATAGTATTTTTAAATTAAAATTGCTAAACATTATAAATAATTTATAAAAAGAATTAATTAATTAATTAAATGTTGATAATTAAATCATAAAATAACTGCTATTAATTAATTAATCATATCGATATTTAAATATGCAATAAATGTTGCAATAACTTGTTAATTTTAAATAAAAATAATAATTATATATTTTCAAAGTATTTAATAAATATATATAAATATATGATATATGATAATAAATATATGAAATAATAATTTGTATCTTTTACTATCACATGATTTTACAAAACGTGATTGAAAATATAAACTAAGCATACCATCTTATATATTTAAATATATTACACATATATGATAAATGTAATAGCTTGCTGTACATATATATAAATGTAATTAACTTACCGTCATCCGGTAAGGCCGTGCTAACTGTTGTGTCCTGACTAATGTCATTGTTCCATGAATTAGCTCTTTGAACTCCCTCAGGAACATTATCGGAATTTGAATCCAACCACCATGGCTTTTCGCCGGAAGACTGATGTTGAATCTTCATATTATTTCCTCTTATCCCGTCATTCTTTGGGGAATTAGTGAAGCTAGGATCCTTTGATAAATTCTGACCGATTGACTTCGAAGATGGCTGTCCTGATTTATTATTGACTTCATAATTTTCTTCAAAAGACTCAACCCAACCATCTGATTTATTTGTATCATCGGAATCTTGACTTTTATTCTTAAAAAAATTTGTTACTGGCGCTAATGCTCTCATCAGAAAGGACTTGGCCTCTTCTGTCTTCACGGAACGATCACTTTTAGATCTTGGATTAGAGGGTGGTCTAGGTGGTTTTTCCGTCATCATTGACATATCATCAGCCGACGACGCCAACACACTTGTTTTCGACGATCCCGCACTGATTTTACCTTTCACTTCGCGCGTAGGCGATTTTGTTCTTTTTCTTCTCCGTCTCGATCCTGTCTTGTCAGTATGATCGTTGTCATCTTCGCTGCTGGAGGAATTTACAGAGGTCGACTGACTACTAGTACTGGAATTGATCCCAGGCCTCTTTTTTATTCCGCAAGGTGACTTTGAGCCACTTTTCGATTCTTCCCATTTAGTTGAACCATTCGAATTATTTCTGCCAAGCATTGGCTTTGATTCTGCAGACGGAATTCTGAACCTCGATTGTCCAGACTTCATTGAGGTTAAGGATCCCGAAGATACTGTCTGGGGAATATGCCCCGAAGTCATTTCAGAATCCTGAGAGCTGACGGAAATATTCCTTTGATTTTTTTTTCTTCTCGCGTACTTAGAGCATGATAAGTCACCATTCTCCATGTTCAAGGTCGACTTGCGGAAATCCTTGTTCACGTACTTCGCTGCCACGGAGCACTTTGGCGTGGCGGCGGTCGTAGTATCATTCTTCGGCACAGGTGGTTTGCCGCGCGCGTCCGGCGAACCGCCTTGTCGTAAATTCACTGACGATAGGATCGAACTGGTGGATGATTTTCCGGGCGATGGCGGCGTTGTCGTTTTTATTTTTATACCCTGACTCGTCACCGAACTAGCTGACGATGATTTCGATCTGCCAATTGGCATATTTACAGAAGATCCATCTGACGAGCCGGTTCGCGTCATTTGACGCGGAATGTTCTTCATCGGTATATTCCGAGTTTGTGATGTCGATGCTGAACGACTTTGCGAAGAACCGCTTTTAATAAAAAATATTAAAATATTAATAAAAAAAATTAGTTACTTAATCCAGATCGGTTTTAATTTTTTGCGCATTTTTTCTTTGCTACAGATTTGTAATCAAATTTTGCGTCTTTTAAAGTCATAGATCATTTATCGTAATTGGATCTTTTCTACGTTTTTACATTACATATAATGACTATGCACTATAATATTCAGTTCTTATATGATTTAATATAATTTATATACAATTATTTTCTAAAATTTTTATATATTTAATAAAATACTATTTATGGCAGAAATTTTATTTGTTAAATGTTATCAAAAAAACAACATTAACCTATTGTTTGTCTTTTTGATGAATAAGATAATGCAATTTATTCACATTATAAAAATACACGCAATTTAACAAATTATAATTAATTTTATTGTAATCTTGACAATTTATAATTAATATAAAAAATTTCTTTATGTATGTCTAATAATAAACTTTATAGGATACAGGTTTACATACCTTGATGTCGAATCTTTTCTTTGTGAAATATCACGCTTTTGAGAAGTAACTTCTTCATTTTGATCTTGACTATGCCCTTCGACAATTCGAAGAGATTCTTCTCTAGAAGAAGAGTTGGTATCAGATTTGGAAATGGATCCTCTTCTTTCGTTGTAAGCGTTAAGTTTCGATGATGTTATTTCATTCTTTAAAGAGCATTTAGATATTTTTGTTTCATTTTTTGGTGAAGTATGTTTCAATCGCAAAATGGACGATTTTTTTTTGTTATATTCATCACATTTCGATACATCTTGTGAATCCTTCGTTATTGAATCCTCTCTGCGATAAAAAGCGAGATTCTGATTATTGGAACTTCTTAAATTGTTGGAGCTTCCGTTTGTTTCAGTCTTTCGTGCACCACAGCAACACCGTTCACTACCATGAATTCTATCGTCTTTATTTATGCTATGAATATTTTGACAGTTTGACGATGTCTTCAAATCATTAGACGCTAATAAAGTCTCGTTATTAGTTGTGCAACTTAAATCACTGAAAAATTTCTCATTTTGATTTTTATTATCAGAATTATGTATGTCTTGATTTAAATTTGATAATTCTTTGACAGAAGATTCATTTTTCGATGCTTCTTTCATTCTCTTATATGTGAAGTTATTAAGTCTACCACTAGAAGAGCTCGCATTAGTATATCCTCTAGACGAATAAATAGATGGATTACCAGTTGAGGATGCACTTGAATATTTATCCAAATACGTTGACCAGGGTACACCAGATGCTCTGTTGCTGCTGCCATACCTCGAGAATCTTGACGGTTCTTCCATTTGATCACACTGTATTTCTTCGTCAGTAGTATCCGCCAATTTTCGATGTTTAATCACTTCGTTTTGTTGAACGATGTTGATCTCTGCTCGTTTATTTCTGACATAGGACGAAGAAGCTGGAGGCGTCGGTGAAGTACCTCTTGTCACTACCGTTAATGTCACAAACTCGTTATTAGGAAGTTTATTGTTGATTTCATTCTCTTCTATTTGATTTGTAGTTTTTGACAATTCGTGGTGACTATCTTTGTCAGATTTCATAGTAAACCTTGATTTTTCTTTTTCTTCTTCTTCTTTTTGATTAGTTGCTTTATTGTTCAAATTTCGAAATCTTCCTCCTGCGGAGTAGTTTATAGTTGTGGACATTCGTTCGTTGCCACTTCGCGATGAAAGAAATCGCGAACCAGCTGCCGAAAATCTCGAGATTGTTGAGCTCGATTCGGATGTATCTAAAAAATTTATTTCTTTTAACATTAGTTGTTTATTTATCTCATTGTCAGATTTAAAATGTTATAAATTATATAGAATAATAATGATTAAGAATTTTTAGAGTTGTAAAGTATTTACAAAATATTAATTATCGCAAGCAAATTTCAATAAATATTCTTTCAAAGTTTATTATTAATGTAATAGAAACACTTTAAAAAATGTCTTACTTTAAGAATTCTGAATTTTAAACATATGCCTAAATATGCAAATTATTATATTTATACATAATATTTATAATAATAATATAAAATACTTACAAGATTTTTTTTTTCATATTCTTTAATTCATAATATAATACATAATTAAAAGTTGTGCACAATAAAAAAATATAATAAAAAACTTACTAGGCGAAGCAGCTGAACGACTGTAAGACGGCGCTCGTGAATAGACTCTGAAAGAATTCGTTTTTCCGACACCGACTTCGGGACTGGGCTCACGCGACGTTTTTCCGGAATTGGGACGTAATCCTCTATAGGAAACCGGCGGATGGTCCTTCTTTTCGGTTCTACCATCGTTACCGTAACTTCGGCCGAAACTCGATCCGGGATATGTGCTGGATCCGTACCTCGATATTCCTTCGGGTTCTCTGCTCTTTTCCCGCGAAGCCGGTCGGTTATATCTGTCCAACACGGAAGACGGCCTCTCCGATGTTTTGCCAGCTGAGAACGAGTACTTCTCAAGGAGAGACGACCTACTATCAGATAGCGGACTTTTCGCCCTCACGTCTTCGGACGACGATCTTCCGGAATGCAATCGACTTTTATCGATATTCTTAGTACCTATGATTTAAGAAAAACTTTGACTTGTGTACGTCATTTCTCTCCTAAAGGAATAATATGTGTGCATTTTTATATTACTAAATATTGTAATTACTAATTATTTCTAGTTGTAGATATAAATTTTATATAATATTGCTAACACGTAATAACACTATATAGCCAAAATGTTGTGCAGTAATATTAATAATATTACAAACTAATATTACAAACAGAAT